AGCAGAGGGCACGAGACCTGCCTTTCATCTTTATTTATCTGATCCCCAAATCCAACGGCATCCACGATCGTTAGCTTCAGGTGGACGTTGCTCTCCTGCAGGTCGTAGGTCCGTGGCCGCAAGCGAACTGCGCTCTCATAGTGACTGGCTTCCTCCGTCTCAAACGTGGTATTGAAGAGGGTATTCATTAGTGTGGATTTCCCAATGCCGGTCTCACCTAGGAAGGAGAAATCATCAGCTCACTGCAGCATGCATTTGTCACAGGTACTTCAAAGAACGTTAATTACAGAGCAGAACTAAATTATACTGTGAAAGGTTACTACAAATTGCTTGTGGACAGACATATAATTGTCAAAGTTAACTGCATTCTTGAAGGCCTCCTGTGCTTAATGCAAAGCTAACAAAGAGCACTTTGGTCTCATCTCCCCAGTGAGGATCACACAGCACAACAAAACACACTATTTTCCTTTCCAACATACCCTGACTTTTCTTGGGATCCTGCACCAGAGAAGGTGGGGAGAGCACAATTTTAGATTGTTTAGAAATTTAGAAATTTAGAGTCTTTTGATTCAAAAAATGAGGAGTAAAACTCAGCTGCTCCTACTGACAAGGACTATCGGGGTCGGTTGTTGGCTGTCCCAAACACAGCGATAAGTCCAGGTAACACTCCAGATCAGCATGAAGTGATGGGTGTTTGGTGTGCTATGGAGGGGACAGGGACATCTGACAGTGATGCTTCCTCTCACTCTTTTCTGTGAGATTCCAGACTTTAACAGGCTTCTCCACCACTTTCTCTCTTTGCTGTATCTTGCCATTGGAGTCTCTGGGTACCTGCCTTTTTTGAGAGTGGAGACCCCTGTGAGGAGGGACTCTGGGTGCCTATTTCAGTGCAGAGAAGCAGGCAGACAGCTCTGAACCTGCTAGGACATCTCGCCATCAGACTGAAAATCTCTTTACACAGCAGAAAAGACGCTGGATGAAGGTTTCATGATTTCAGCGTGCAGCTGAACTTTGGTCTGCCTGGAAGCCCTAAAGTAGCTTGTCCCTCTTCCACAGCCTCAACCCTGTACTCCCACATGTCCCATTAATAACTGCCAAAGGACTAAAGCCCATTCTGCTGTAACCCCTTCCACCTCCATCCACGTGGCAGCTACACCAGAGTCGGCTCTGTGGCTCTTTTATTCTCCCCTCTGAAAAGCACAGCAAGCTCTGCACAAGGCGCTCGGTGAGCTGCTGAGATCTAGCTCGGTACACGCAAACTGTCCAAGATGGTCCCGTTCTGCACAGACCCATCACAGACAGCATGTCTATGCTTTGAAATGATAGGGCCACCTGTGCAAAGGGAATCGGCCGAACTGGAGGAAATAAGCAATGAACTCTTCCATCACATCAGGCATGAGCTTCCACAGGCATCCAAATAACCTCAGCAAGACAGAAGCTGTCAGAGAGAGAAAGAGGTGCTCCTCTGCTCTGAAGAGTTACAGCTGCACAGGGCGATCTTGCAACCCAGTTGGTTTCATCTCTCACTGCTCTTGATTTCTGGAGTTTCCCTTTAGTATTTCTGCTTCCATCAAGGCTAGCCTGTTGCCCCATGATTCTTCACGCCAGACCAGCCAAGGGGAGACAAGAATGCTGTTTAGGGGGAACCAAAGTGAAAACAATACCAAAATGCAATATATCATCTGTGACACAGAGGCCAAAGCATGACAATGTTTTCAGAGGCCAAGTTCCATGGCGCATTTTTACTATAGACCTCAGCAGAGCCCTGTGCTGGAGCACTGAAGCAGGGCACTTCTAAGGCACCTTCATCTTTCCAATAGCAGAAAAAAATCTGCCAACTTGAACCTCTGAGATAGACAGAGGGAGACAACATGGAGTCAAGAGGGGATGGCAGAGAAACTTGGTAGGGAGAGACTATTTCTTGGAGAACTGGTAAGGGCAAGATTAGGAGAAGTTTCCCGTCTGTAGCCCCCCTGTTACAACAGCCACTGAAGGACACCTGGGATGCATCACAAACCAAGCTCCATCCCAGAATATTTGGCTCACAGGCTGTGTGCAAGCCAGAAAGGCTTTGAACTGCTGTTCCTGGTAACTAAATGAGGCTGATATTTTCCAGATTTGCCTGCAAGGGGCTCCATTTAAACTCCTCACTTGCTACTCTCAGCCCTATTGACCAAGGGAATGAAAAAAGGCAAACTCCAAGGAAATAGCCTTCTACTACTCCCAGCTCATTTCCCAGGCAGTCTGTTGTGCTACACCTTCGGCATAGACAGCCGCTGCTACTACCAAGCGCAGCCTCTCTCGCTGAACCCAGCCAGCTCTGAGGAGCCCTACAGTGGACGTGCTGGTGGAAGAGCAGGAGAGTGAGCAAGTTTCTGCTCGAGGGAGGTGCCATGCCTGCTGCCAAGGGCTTTGGGCTTTTTCCTTGTTCAAGCACCACAGGTTCTGCTCTTCACTGGAGAATACGTACCTCATGATGCTTAGAACAGGACAGAGGCTTCCTACCAGCAGTGGCTAAGAGTTGTGCAAAGAAAGAAAAACAGCCTAGTGCTCTAGATTAATCTGAAAGGGAAGTCATATGGACAACTCGCTACCGATGCAAGCCACATTCTCCTGTTCAGTTGTGGGCACAGCTGGGAGCAGGAACTGGCAAACAGGGGTACAGGACATTTTTTTTTTAGCTTTTGTCAAAAAAAAAAAAAAAAAAAGGCAGTAATTTTTTCCAGCGTGTCACAAATGAAAATGGAAGAGTTTCCATTCTGGAGTCCCCAAGAACAACACCGATTAAAAACATATAGCCCTCTGCTGCAATTACCCTTCTGCTAAGGAGCAAGTTTATGAAGTTCAACTGTGATTTCAGCCATGCTTTTTACTTGTGGTTTGGGTATGCAAAAGTGGCTTCAGTATGGCACAAGCACCTTGTGCAAATTGTCAGGGTTTCACTGCACAGTCTATACAAAGCCATATTCCCTTTGGGCAGATCAAGGTCCAGGCAGGGAGCTGCTGTCTCTGGATGTATTTCTGCTGGTCTAGCAGGTTACCATACTGCAGACCTCACACACAATACAAGAACCAGCCAAAGTAAAAATAATGCTCTTCTCATCACTGGAAGGAATTGCTTTCTAGTACTCTAGCCAGCACCACCTGCGAGATCACAGCAGTACCAAAATTAAAAAAACAAGAATATAATGAGGTTATTTTAAAGCCAGCCTCTCGCACCTCCTCACAATCTTCAGGACAAATACTTTACAATCAATAAAGCCAGGAACACCCCCTTCCCTAGCACAGAGATGGCCATGCTTCAAGCCCTTTGACTCACCCTGGGGAAGCATCAACCGGGCACAGCTCAGATACAAACCTCTTGTTCCGGGCTTTGGGGTGCAGGCTTACACTCAGAAACGACCGAGTTACCACCAGCAGCTCTCAGCTAACACATGCTGCATCTGACTGCACCTACCTGGGCACCATATTCACTGAGAAGCTGCTCATGCAGTCACCCCAGTTTGCAAATGGGAATATTTAACTTGCCACATACGGTCTTCCCTTAATCCTTCCCATTGCAAAGCTATCGCAGCCAACAAGATGAGCAACACCTCACTGATTACGGAAATTCTTCTGGTTTGACCCACAAGGTTCAGCCACTTGGACCTCCCTGCCGCTCTCTGCAGCTCCTGCACCAGTAGCTCAGCTCAATGCAGAGCTGGACAGTCCCACACTCATTTCCTCACTTCACTGAAGGCAGAAAGATGATATATTCAAGCTGTTCCCAAAACTCCTTCTAATTTTGGGCAATGAGTCTCCAACAGTCTCTTGTGAAAGTCACAACTCAGAATCACATCAAGCTCCAGAGAGCTCAAGATCACTGAAATTATTATGTGGGGTTTTTTTTTGGGGGGGGGGGGTGTTGGGGTTTTTTGTTGTTTTTTTTTTGTTTTTTTTGTTTTTTAAAGAGTTAGGCATTTCTGACTTGCTTAAAGTCACTGACGAGGCCCGTGGCGCAGCAGGACACACAAGAAATCCTGGTCCCAACCTCACCGCGCCGCCAGCTCAGCCCACGTCTGTTTGCAGAGGACCGTGCTCACCCACGCAGAGGATGTTGAAGCTGAAGCCTTGTGTGACAGACTTGCTGACCAGCTGATCGGGGAGACTGTCGAAGCCGACATGGCCCCCCAGGGAAAGGTTCCTCTTCTCTTCATTCTGGTAGGGAGAAGAAGCCAGATTAGCAGAACTGCACTGAGATGGCAATACAGAAGCATGAGAGGAACCACCAAGCCCAAGAAATAACCACCCTCCCGGGCACCGCAGAGCCACCAACACAAACCCTAATGCTGCCCGCAAGAGCTTTTGTCTTGGCACGCCACAGCACAAACCCTCTGACAGACACCAACAACAGAAAAGAGAGGGAAAAATACTGGTCTTAACGGGGAATTGGGAGAACTAAGCTACCAGGCTACAAAGAAAAGCAAGCACTAGCATGAGCTCCAACTACGCGCAGCTGGGAGAGATTACGAGGAAAACCCACCACCGTGTGTTTTAGTACTCATTATTCCTCGACCTTTTCTATTTTATTTTCTTAATCCCTCCAGCACTGAATTCAGCTTGGTGAATTGATAGACTCTGCATTTTCCCTTTGCTGTTGCCATAAGCAGCATGGTTTTGTTTGCTCATGCATCCAGGAGTGCTGGTCGCACAGGCAAGGTGAGGAATCCTCTTGCTTTACCATCTGTGACCACACAGTTCTCCACCGTTTCTCTGCTGTTCCTGTTCCTGCCTCCCCCATATGCACTTTGTTCTTCCTTCTGTCTCCTCCCTTGCCCAGAGGAAGACGAAGCTGATCACCTGTAGGAAGCTTTGCTTAGAAGCTGAAACAATAAACATTTGAGGAGACAACATGTCTATGCCCCATATTATACAGACGGGCAGCCCAGATCAGCTATAATTCCAGAAGAGCGGATTCGGCAGACGGGTCATTTCTGTTTCTTGTGGTTAAGAACAGTAGAGTTTGGATTTGCACAAACATTTCAACAGATGTTGCCACCTCTCTACACAACTGAGCAACACCGTCCAGACCCAAGGACCAGACCACTGCGCCCACAGCCTCTCAAGCACTCTTAGCCTTCCATGCAGAAGCAAAGATATGTGATTTCACGCTACCGATTCATTCACCCTCACAGTTTCTTTGGTAAATGAGTCTGTTTTTCTTAATCACCAGCACACAGTGGAAGACGGGGATGGAAAAAGCATCTGCCCTTCATCTGGCCCAGGTTCTTCTGTCTGTCCCTGACAAGTCGGACCTAATGTCCCAGCACTAGGATTGTGAGACAAGAGCATACCCTGAGAAGAGCCTAAGCTGGCTGTCAAACTTTAAATTAACTCAAGAGGAAAATAAAAGTGGCATGATAAGCCTTGTTTAGCAATAAGATTGCTAAACAAAACATAAATCTGTGTTCAACTGCATCTCGAGTCAAAGCCTCCTTTAGTAGAACAAATATTCTCAGCTTTGTAAAATAAACCATTTAAATTGTAAGAACAACTTGTGAACAGCTGAAGCAGCTCCTATGCCTCACACACAAACCTTCCGGCTGTCCTATTTAGCATTTGTTACCAACTTTCAGATGATTTCAGCCCAGCACTCTCCCAAGGGACTCCTCGGACAGAAACACAACCAAATCGTAGCTGGGCTCCTGCAATCAATTCTGTTTCATCCCATCAGGATCGATCGCACTCACTCACTAAGGGGAAATAGCAATCCTTTAAATTCTTGTGGGAAAGATGGCATCACTTAAGGTTTTAAGGTGGCCAAGAGTTTAGGTGAATTAAAAAGGGCCCTTAAGACCGGGAAACCTCCAAGTTAAACTTTTCTCCATTCATCTGTCACCACACCGAGCTGCTAAAGCTGAGAGTGGCACCTCTGCAGGGACAGACCCCAACCGCAGGGCGATTCCCCAGCACACAGGGAGAAAAACGAGTCCGTGCTGATCTGGGCAGCTCAACGCTGACCCAGGGATCCGGCGTGGGACGCTGCAGCCACACTGGGAATGGGAACCTGGACACGTGCACTGGAAAGGGGCTCAGAGTTGTTCAGATTTGGGTTTCTTTGCGTTTAAGGAGGAGATTGTCACAAGGCACAGGAAGCCACTTGCATGGCTGACACCCGGCACTGGCAGAGCTCAGGGGGCTTCCTCGGGCTCTCAGCCCCATCCCCTCCGCACCCACGTCTCCTCTCCCCCGCTGCCCCTCCAAGCCACCACCTTACAGAGCTTAAAATGCCCGTTCCCACCGCTGCAATGCGGTGACAGCCAAGCAAGCCGTTCCCACAGAAAGTCACCGAGTTTGATGGTTACACTTTGTGTCTTTTCATTTTAAATAATAAACAAAAAACAAGCAAACACAAACCAGAAGCCTGGGATGACATTTTGGATGGGAAATAAATAAAGGCTGCCGATGGCAAGGATTAGGCTGCGAGTGCCCGCGGCTGGGAAGAGGTTTCCAGGCAACAGGCAGCACCACTGCTTGCGATTTTAAAATAGGCTCCAGCTCGGCAAGGCTGCATTTTAAAATAGGCTCCAGCTAGGCAAGGCTGCATTGAGAACTCAGTCATGCTTTGGCCAGAGGAAACCCAAATGCGTTCGCACAGGGTTTTTACTTTTTTTTTTTCCCCCTTCTCTTCGGCATTTGGTCGCTGCTCGTTACAGGACAACACTAACACTCAAAACTGCTTGCCATTTCTTAAAGCGGCTAAACCAACGAGCCAAACTTTAGTTTTTCTCGGTGACCTTGAAATGCACAGTTTCCTTTTATTTCTGTAAGCTACGATAATAATCTGGTTCAAGTCCAAACACCGCTGATACCAAAGCAGAAAAGCATTTGCTGTGCTTGCAGTGCCTTCAGCTGTCATTCAGCCTCCAAAGGCATTTTGCTATTGTTGCTGTTAGGACAAACAGCAGCAACAACTGCTGGAAAGTAATAAGACTAGGAAAAAGACAGACAGACAAACAAAAGTTTTCGGTTTTATTCTTTCCCTCCAATCCATTGAGCTTGAAATTCGACAGCCTTGCCGATACAACCAATTTTTCTGCTCACTTGTGTTGTTTGGTGTCTTGACCTGCCCTGGAGAGGAACCTACCCACCACCCCAATGAGCAACCACCAGCACTTCTTCCTGCCTCTACCTACAACTGATTTGCGAGTCTCACCCCGACTGACTAACCCTTCTGGCCAGCTCCCGCTCGCCCAGGCTAGCTGAAGGACAGCTTGAAACATTCACCTGCTAGTAAAGACAACAAGGTCACATTCAAAATTGACTTCTTTCCAGCAGGAGCAGCCAGCCTACCAGGCTGCAATGCTCAGCAAAAATAATCAATCCAGAACATAAATGCTGCAATAAATGAGGGCAGCAGCATTGCAGCCATGGGGGGTGTTCTGTTTTAAACAAAAGCTAAGAATTTCA